CAACACATGCATGTATTGAAGAATTACTGAATAGTTTCAATAATTTTGCGTGTGTGTGTGTTACAGATATCATCATTAAACCTCTTAAGTGTTATATCAGAGCAAGAAGGGTGTACAATTGAGGAGCTGAATGCTGGAAGGGTATGCGACTGGTTTTTGAAAGATAAGCTGAAAAGAGAGCAGAATATAGAGTCCGCAGTGCTTCAATGGGATGATTCTGAACTCCAATTTTGAGCCTTTTTACTCTTCTCTTTATTTAATTAACAAAAGAGCTCATTTAGGGATATCATGGGATTGAGTTATAGCGTTGTTCGTGACTATACATGCTTTATGCGTAACTGTCTTTTCCATTAGAGCACCATATTGATCCAGTTTCTATGAGTGCTGATTTCAAATTGGAAGTTAATGCAGACCCATAATCCTGTGATCCCAACTAGAATCACCTGCAATTTTGCCTTTCTCATGGCAGAGGGCACGTTGGGAGGCATCAGACTTCACATCCTTACCGCTTTGCAGAGGCATGTGTTCTTCGTAAACAGTGCCCTCAGGCACAGTCGGTTCCCCCCACCGCCACCTCCATCATTTTTTAAGGGGTGGCGCCCCCTCTCCTAGTGTTAGGAGAACAAAACAAAATGAACATAACCTTTCTCATCATAGCCCAAAACCTTAGCATTCTTAACCAAGTAGTGAACTAGTGGATTTATCAGCTCCCGACATTCCCTGGTACAGTGATCTTAACAATCTTGGGATGTGGCGCACAACATTGAAAATCTCTCAACGGAGGCTTCCTATATTCCTCCTCATCAGGCGTTTCTTCACTGTGTCTCGTGAAAACTGCTAAAACACAACACTAAATTTTCAATGAAAGCAAACAGAATCTGTTTTATTCAACTTTATCCTCTCAAAATAGCAACTCAACAATTATGAGTGGAGCTGGTCATCGGTTAAGTTCATGATTGTTCTGTCTAAGCAAGGTGAACTTCCTGGCAGGCCTGTGTCGCAGACAGGATCTCATTCAAGAAGCACGATTCTAATGTTAAACACTTGCGTTCAGAAAGCAGAGTGGGCACCCCTTTAAGAATAACCTCCATCTTGGCTAAACAAGAATCATTAGCAATAAATCCCTGGTAACTTCTTTGGCGTGATGAATGTCCAGAAGAAGATCTTTCATCATGTCCCTCGGGATTTCATAAATGTCGTCCTGATCAAGATAGTAAGTAATCTCCAAGCACTGAAAATTCAATGCCGTAAGCAACAGGTCGAAAATTCAAGCAGAGATTTTGCATTTAAAACAAAAAATTTCGTCTTGGAATTACTTCTAACTAATTACGCTTGACTTCAAACCATGTTTGTATATTGTAATACCAAACAATTTCATCAAACAAACAATTGGGATTTTGAAAAGTTGATCACAAAATTAATGGAATGATTAATGAATTCATATTCAAAACTTGGGAGAGCTGCAAATGCTGACTCTGTATTCTAGTTTGAAATTCAATTCAACCTCAAGACCCAGACAACAAAACAATTGAACATGTACGTACAGCAGGGCACCATTTGCCATTATTCAAAGATTTTCCAAGTTATGGATTAATAAGAACACATATTTGTATAATCTAGGAGTCATTCTCCTATAAACTAGAGAAACTTTTGTAGCTTTCTCAAAATAACACTCTAATTTTGCATGTACCTAAAGCCCCTACCTGTAAAATCTAAAAAAATAAAAAAATAAAAAAATAATTGATTTAATTAAAAAACACGAATAAATTCATGACTTATTTAACCAGTTTTAAAACATTATTTTGTTAAAATAAAAAAATAAAATCACATCATTTTAATATTTTTTAAAAATATATTTTTATGTGAAGCTGGATTAATTTTTTTTTTTAATGATGACGGAGACATTGTCTTAAATAATGGCCACAGGAAATCTGAAAAAAAAAAAACAAGTTGAAGTTATTTTATTTTAGGTTGATTCCATGTCCCCCTTATCAATTATTGATCCATGAATTTAATGGTAAATAAGGAGAACAACTTTTGTCCATTTATCCCACTTAAAAACAAATTTATATGTGTTTAGAGTAATTAATAATTAATAATTAATAATCAATAATCAAAGTGAAAACATGGGTTTAATCAACTAATCCCACCATCTCAAATAAAGCTAAATTAAATTCCAAAGAAGCCAAAAACACCAAAAATCCAACCACTTCCTTTTTCCAAAGTCAACTTACCCTGACGTCAACGCCAAGTTAAAAAAAAAAAAAAAAAAAAAGGAAGTGGTTAAAAGCCAAATTGTCTCTAGCACCAATCAATGGAGATTGGAGACAAGGGAGTGGGCCCAAAATCGAAGCTTCCCTCTTCCAAAGTCTCATCGTTCATAACGTTCAAAGGAGGAAAAGAGATCCCTTCTTAATAGGTGTCTGTGTGTCTATAAATATAATTTAAAGATATATTTTATCTAAAACTATTAATTTAATTTTTTTTAATACTTTCCGATAATTTTATTTTACTAATATTAAAATTTTAAAAACTAAAAAATATTCTAATATATTTTTAATGAAAAAATATTTTTAAAAAACACATACTATAATACCAAAATATTCATTAAATGTGTTTGAGAGAATTTGCAAGGAAAATTATGTGGAACCTCATGTGCCAATATGGAGTCTTTAATCTTTATTTTTTCTCTATAATTTTTTTATTTTTTATTTTTAATATTCAACTAAAAGAAAAATTATTTACTCCAATTTTTTTTTAAAAATAAGACATGATTATTCATTTCAGATTGAAACAAATCAAGATTATATTTATAAAAAATAATTAGCTAAGAGAAAGATGTATGTCATACTGTAAAATGATGGATGAGTGATGATCCATCTAGTCCTTTGGTTGACACATAAAAAAAAAATTATGAGAACCAATTTTACCAAATTAAAAGCATAACAAAAATTAAAAGAGGATAAATGATTGGAGTTAATTCATCTAAATTAAGAGAATTAAAAGTTAAAAAAATTATAACTTTAATAAATTAACAAAAAATGATTGAATCTTTCATGCATCCTTCTCCACCTGAAAGCTTGACAATTTTTAGATAATAGCTTTAATTTCTTACTATTTTTCCATCAATATATATATCTAAACAATTAAAATCTATATATTATAAACATAATTTTGATTTAATTAAGGTGTTGGCTCATAGAAGAACTAGATTTACCATTCCTCCTAATTTAGTATAAAGACTAGTTTTGAATAAAAAATATTAAACCTAAAAAAATATTAAGTTGTGGCAATTATATTCAATCTAACTGATTAACTTTAAAAACTATTGATTAAACTCTTTAACTAGCATGAATTTTAAATTAGATTATATAATAATTGTTTTAATGTGATTTAGTGGATTTAATGAGTTCAAAAATAAAATAAATTGAATGACTAATATAAATTGTGATTAATATTTTTTTTAATATTAAAATAATAACATATTAAATAGACCTAGGTTTTATATCTTAACCCATCAAATCTATGATCTAAATCATGGATTTTATTTGGTTTAGCAACTTTGTTTCTTACAATAAATACTCATCAAATTAAACACCAATCAAATGATGAGATATTTATTTAAAATTACAATAACAATTTGATTTTTTAAAACTATTTATCACATAATAATATAATAAAAAAATAGATACTCATAAAATTAAACACTAAATAATTCCTATCATGTTTGTTTGAGATTGTAACAACTTCATAAAAAATAAATTAAAATAAATTATAAGAATCAATTTAAAATCAATTAAATATTAAATAATAAAATTAATAAAAATAACCTAAAATAATTCAATCAAAAAAAAATTGGAAGATGGAATAAAAAAAAACAACTATTTGACATTGTTTATTAAATCCAACCCAACAAAATAACCTTGAAACATCCGACCTAATTTTTTACCTAGTTGAATTGCATGACCTTGTTGATTTAGTAAGTTTAAAGATAACTCAAATAACTTGTAAAAGTAGTGTTTTGAAACCCGGTCCGGCCCGACGGGTCTATCTAGAGTTGGAATTGGGCTGGGTTGATGAAAAAATAGGATAAGCCATGACTCTGAGTGACCTAACCGACCTAGCAACTCAGTTGACTTGGCAAAACCCAATCAAAAACTCAATTGCAACCTGTTGATTTTTATTTTATTTTTTTAATTAAAATAATGCCATTTTGAATTTTTTTAAAATAGAAATTAACCCAGCTGACCCAGTCAAAACCTGTTGACCAAGTTAAAACCCAGAACCCGGGTCTTGGACCGGACCGGGTTTAACAAATTTATGTAAAAAAATGATTTGATTTTAAAAAACTTCAAGATAATATCTTTATTTTATATTGAGATGATAACATATTGAATAGGTCTAAATTTCACAGGTCAATTCACAAACTTTATGATCTGGATTAAGAGCTCTATTAAGTTTAAAAAAATTATTTTTTAAATTTATTTTATATTTTATGATATGATAAAAAATAAATACTTACAAAAATTAAAAAGCACTAATCAAATGAAATGATATTTTTTTTTAAGGTTATAACTACTTTATAAAAAACAAACTAAGACCAAATTATGACAAGTAAATTTGAAATTAATAAAATATTAAAGTAAGAAAATTATAATTGAAAATTACTAAAATATAAAAATATAAAATTAAAAAAACATTAATTTTTTTTTAAAATACCGTAAACTTTTACAATCCTTCTAGTATAGAGTATACGTGAAGAAAATAAATTTGGAAAAATGGAATTACAAAAAAAAACGGGAGATGCTTCCCTGCTTATATATACATAATTAAAAAAATTCATAATATTTTCTTGTTATTTTACTATTTATATAACAATGAAGCTTCAGCACCATGAAATTTCCCAATCCTTTTTGTAACATGAACGGTCAAGCACCATGGATTTTTACTTTTCTTAAGCGCGTATATATCTATATGTACATTAAGCTATTTTTTTTTTTTTTTTAAAAAGAAGACTTGGACATGAACCCAAATAATCAAACGCAATTAAATCCCCAGTCCAAATCCACCATTACTCCTGACCTTGAACTCTCTCCCTGTCTCTGGGTCTCTCTCCCCCCATGTCTTTCAAAGAAGAAACCATCACCAAAACTGAGTCTCTAAGCCCCGCAAAAACGACCCCGTTCCTGATGATCTAATATGGCCATAGCGGACCAGAGATCACCCGCCGATAATACGAACAACAATCACAATAACAAAGTTTGGGGACTTTTTAAGCTGCCGTTTTTAGGAGGGAGCGACGCAAACACGACACCCTCTTCTTCTTCTTCTGCTACTACTGCTACTAATCCAACTATGATGATGCAGCAGCATCACCACCACCACCAACACCATAATCACCAGCACAACTCGCAAATTGAAGGATCTTCTAATCCTCCTCACCCTTCCAATTCTGTCTCTTCTGTTGCTAGATCGCTTTTGCCTACTCGTCGTCGTCTTAAACTCGATCCAGCTTCTAAGCTTTACTTTCCTTGTAAGTTTCTCTCTCCCTCTCGCTCTCTTAATTTTTAGAACGAACTTAAATTGCTAATTTTGAAGAAAAATTGAGATAATTAAGTTTCTCCTTCGTTGTCCTTATTAACAAGGATGAATTTGCTTAAAACTCAAAGTCACCGCACGTAATTGACTTTAATTTCTTCAAATAAAAAAAAAGTAAAAAAAATATATTTCCCAGATGCTTTCTTTTCTTTACTTAAATAAAATATAAATATTAAGAAGAGAAAGCGCGAAAGTTTCGATCTTCATTAGCTTGTTACTTGAAAATTCATGCAGTCAAATGATCAATGTAATTTAATGATGATTAATTAGGATGTTTTATTTTAAAGAAATTCCTTATAATCAATGCCCTGACTCATTGAATCATATAGAGAATCAGTAATTTTCAATTGGGGATCAGTGTTATATTTACAGCTGCATTCGTTATGCGAACTATTTGCTTTTGTTTGTTTCCAATTGTGTTACTGATTTTCTGATGCTATTGCTCTGAGTAATGTTTTAATTATGTTTGTTTTGCGTGCTCTTTTTTAGACGAACCTGGCAAGCAGGTCCGGAGTGCCATCAGGATTAAAAACACTAGCAAGTCACATGTAGCGTTTAAGGTATATTTAAAATTTTTCTTCCTTGTTTTTGTGGTTCATAGCATAGTTATAAGACTTGATCTGGCGGTCAACCCTGCCCGAGGAGGGCTTGTTTGTCGGGTGGGTTCACCCGGTCAACCCAAGCTTCTTTTTTTTGAAAAAAAAAAAACCAAAACGATGTAAAGAACAGCCCGGGTCGAGCCCTGGGTCACCAGGTTGATCTGCCAGGCTAAGTCTTGTAACTAGGGTTCATAGAGTCTAGATGTGTAGGTTATAGATGTATGTACACACATTTCGTTCTAGATCACTTGGTTTCTTGTTGTGCTTGATATTGTTTTGCTATTGTATCAGGTGTGTGACTGGATTTTGTAATGAGTTGTTTTTGTTTTTTCTTGATTTAGTTTCAAACAACTGCACCGAAAAGCTGTTTCATGCGTCCTCCTGGGGCTATTCTTGCACCTGGGGAAAGTATCATTGCTACAGGTAATTACCGTTGCATTCTATGTTCATATTAACGTGCTTTGAGGAGAGAATGTATCTTAGCTATTTTCTGTCTTTCCACTCTATTCTTACAAAATTATCTTCTTGATTTTCGATGCCAGTCTTCAAGTTTGTTGAGCTTCCAGAAAATAATGAGAAACCAATGGAACAGAAGAGCAGGGTTAAATTTAAAATCATGAGCCTGAAGGTGAAAGGGGTTATGGACTATGTACCTGAGCTGGTGTGTAGAATGGTTCCTTTATCTTCTTCTTTGTCATTTTTTATTATCCCTCACCCCCCCCCCGTCATTTTTTATTATCCCCCCCCCCCCCCCCCCAAATTGATCTAAGTGTTTTAATATTAACCTATGTTGGTCAACAATAGTCTTGGTGATAAATGATCTAGGTCCCATTCCTTTATTTTGATATATTTGGGCCTGAAACATGTTCATTGCAAATTCTTTATAAAACCAGGCAAGTATCTTGGTTTTCTGAGGAGGTCAATAGGCACAACGAGACAGATAGATATCTTAGGCATCATTGTTACTGTTAGTTTTGATGTTTCCAAGGGCTGCACATTCATTTCATTTGGTTTCATCTTTCTTAGGGGCTTTTCTGATATAAAGATGTCATCTGGCTTTGGCCAGGCTGCTCACTGTAATGTAATTATGTGAAGTGCACTGACACAGATTACATGTAATGGGATGTGGCATCTTGCGTTGAAAGCCAGATGCCATCATTTTCATTTGTTGATTCTGGAGAATCTGTGCCTGTTTTCCTTGCAGAATAACCATGATAGATTTTGGATTCAATTACATGTTGTGTGGCTGGCTGCTTTTGTTGGATGGACACTTAGAATATCTTTACAAACTGCTTTATGGTCTATTTGAACTTTATATTTGTGTTTGAATCTCCTGTTGCAACTTTATGAAGTACTTTAGATGCTTTGTCTCTACAGTTTGATGAGCAGAAAGATCAGGTAGCAATAGAGCAAATATTGCGGGTTATTTTTCTGGATCCGGAGCGTCCTAGTCCTGTAAGTATCAATAACATGTCAATAATCATGGAATCAAATTAATCTGTGCTTTAGGATCCATCCTTTTCTGTTTTTTCATATGTTACCTCCCTTCTCTTATGTTTGGCACATGACATGCAATTCATACAATTACAGGCTTTGGAAAAGTTGAAGCGCCAATTGGCTGATGCTGATGCAGCTGTTGAGGCACGCAAGAAGCCTCCAGAAGATGCAGGCCCAAGGATTATCGGTGAAGGACTAGTTATAGATGAATGGGTGAGTTGTCAAGTGTTGTGCTTTCCAAACTTTCCCTGTGAAATTTCCTAATCTTTGTCCATTCCTTTTGTACAGAAAGAGCGAAGAGAAAGATACCTTGCTCGGCAGCAGGGTGAAGTAGTAGACTCGGTATAGAGTGGCAGTGCATTTGTGTATGATGAATGGAATTTATACAACCCACCATTCAGTAAATTCCTCCACCCTTTTCATGTAATGCAAAGGATATTGTATTCAGAAAATCATGTAGGAAAACTTCAACATGGTGTGTAAAGAGAAACTGGAAGTGAATTCTGTGATTTGGGGTACTAAAACTTTTTCGATCTCCATCTGCCTGTGTATACTTGTGTTTTTGTTTTCCTATTTCAGAAATAACTTATCTTTACCCAAAGTAAAGCGCATAATTTCAATTTTAATGAGTGTTGATATATATGGTGGGAAATCAGATCCCATTTCTTTTATTTATTCTGTGTCATTTCATTGGCACTCTTCCATGATATCTCCATTGCTGTTAGCATGTGCTATGAATACGTTGGCCCATGAGCAGCCTGTGACATGACCCGGGAAGGACAGCAAAACCTGATGCCCTCATCTGGGTGTCTCCAACCCATGAGCTGTTTGCAAGCATCCGTTGCCCTTTCTGAATTCTAGCTGCTACCGAAATTTAAAAAAATTTGGTTTATATATATATATATTTAGATTATTTTGATATATTACAATTAAAAATAAATTTTAAAAAATATTTTAATACATTTACAAATAAAAATTACTTCAAAAATAAATAAATCACTATATCAAACATATCTTACTAAGGTGAGAACCCATGATAGAGGAGAAACTCTACTTTATTAGTCGTCCAAAATGAAACCGCAAGAGTAAATTATTCATTTAGTCCCTGTGGTTTTAGCAAAATAACTAATCAGTCCCTCGGGTTTAAGAAGTCGTATATTGCATCTCTATGCTTTTTTTTTTCTATTTATAAATCAATCGCTAACTGTCCTTTAATAAGGTGCTGAGCTGTTACTAATTTAGTAATTTCTTTCTAGAATACCATTCTGACTCGCTGTAATAAATTAACGGAGCATTGAAGAATTTATTGTTTTATTTTTTAAAAACAAATTATTATTTGCTTAAACCTCAAGCATGAATGGCCTGTTTTAAGCAAAGCGGAGAGGCTTACTTGGGGGTGTAAATGATAAAAGTTAATTGCCGTAAAGCCAAAATCATCTGTACACAGTCCATTAACAGTGAGCGAAAAATCTCCATGTTCTTGCAGTTTAATCCCTTCAACGCTGGATCACTGTATCCAGCTCGAATGGTACTAGAGCTAGCAGTGAATGCTGAGAGCAACGTTTGAACTGAAAGTTAGTCAAGCACCAGCCAGCTGACAAGACGCTTGGAGTGTATTTATGTCCTGAATATCATGTAAATTCTCAAATAAGATGGAAAAATACAATTTATATTATTTTTTAATAAAAGTTTTTTATATAATTTATATTATTTTCCATATGGAATTTCATTAACTTTTACTTTGTTGTCGTATGCAAGAATCGCCATGTTCTTTTTGGCGGATAAGATTTTCTCAGGCATTCTTTCGACATCACAAAGGACCCCCCCGCAAATGGAAATTCAATAAAACCATGGCTTCCGCTTCTGGATTTGCTTCCATTGTATCTGTAAAACCGCCTCTTTGGCCATCCCACACCATGCAGTCACTCCTTATATAGACGGCCATGCTAATCCTTCACTTTCGTAAGAGGAAAAACGACAGTCACAAGCGGGAATTAATTAAGTACTCCGTACTTCATTGAGAAGCAAAGAGCGTTCAAGAAAGATGAGTAATTGTAGCAGGAACTGCATGGAAGCTAGTTTGGCTGGGATTGAAGGCCAGCCTAGTCATGGTTCTAAATCAAACTCAACGTTTCGATCTTGGAGTTCCAGGAAGAAAAGCTATTCCTCTGGCGGTAATGGGGGCCGTGATGGAGAGAGCAAGAGAAAACAGGCTGAAGAGTCCTTTCAGAGAGTGATGTACTTGAATTGCTGGACACAAGGTTGCTAGTTAGTTGAGTTTTTGCTAGTCCTTGTTGCCAGTCTTGTAGTCAGTGGCTTCATGGTTCAGGAGAGATTCTTGACTCCTGATGAGTTAGTATATTGTTGTAAGGATTTGTGCTTAATTAAAATCTCTAAAGATTGGCAACATGAAAGCAAGTCCATCAGTAGTACTGGCATGTAAAAGTTCTGTGAATTTCTCAATGTTCTGAATAGAGAAAAGTAGAAAAAGTTTCAAATGATTGATCTAATATGAACAAATATGACCAGCGACGGACCAGCAGTCCTCTAGATCAAAGAGTCGAGAGATACATGAACAGCCATTTAATATTAGATCAATCATTTGAAACCTTTTCTACTTTTCTCGGCTGTTCATGTATCTCTTGACTCTTTGATCTAACTTCTTTTCTTTCCTTTCTTTTTTCCCTTAAAATCTTTCTTAAAATCTTTAAGACCATTTAATATTAGATACATGAACAGCCATTTAATACCGAGAGGTATATAGCTGTATTAATTAAAGTAGATTTCTCAGACCATTTATTAATCTAACTTCTTCTCTTTCCTTCCTTTTTTCCCTTAAAATCTTTCTTAAAACTGTGATCTAATCTAGTTAATAGGAGCTAACTATCACGGCTGGTGATACCTCTCTTCTTAAGAACAATACTTTCAAGAACAACGGCAATGGCGTGTTATGAGGACAAAGATTGTCGTCAGTAACATGTCTTCGTTCATAAAGCTCCAAAACCTCCATAAATGCCCTATAGAAAGGCCATGCATTAAATCTTGTTGGTGGGAATGAATACCGTGTAAAGATAAATGAAAAATGATAGAGCCATGGTCTTATTTACTTCGGATCATGAGCAAATAACAGGTAGAGTGTGAGCTTCATTACCCCTGGCATGGCACATACAGTCATATCCGGTTTAAGCTAAGAGATATTTTTACGATCATGATCTTCATTCAATAATAAAAAACCTTTTTTTATAAAATAAAGATTGTTTTCATTTAATAAAAGATTTCAAATACAAAATAAAAATTATTCAAGAATTCACGTGTAGATTTGTACAAAAAATACTAATAAAATATTTCTGAAATATTTTAAAATATTATATTTATATTTTTGGTGAAGAGTCTTTCACATTAAACCGGCTCTAGAGACCTATTCATTGAATCAAATCTTTATGGCCGGTAAACTTTATCCAAGTATTCAATCATGTATAATAAGAACAAGGCGAATCTTCACTCAGATTTTTATTTTCCTGAGAAAGACAGAAAAATGGGACTCAGCTAGCAACACACAAGATCACATCCACGTATGTATGGGAGACATTATTAATGGCTATCGAAGGAATGTAAGCTAAGCACGAAAGAAAAAAATATCAACACATTATTCCCTCCATGAAATATATAATTAATAAGAAAAAGCACATATGGGTCGCATCCAATGCCAAACTGGGTGCCTGTGTGGGACATCACTATCAACTTAATTTCTTCTGCTGCTTCTTCTTCTTCCTCTTATTTTTTTTTTCGGTGTGGATTAAAGATTGGTTCTTGCATACCACAACCAGGTGGTGGAAGGCGCAGAAATCTAGAATTTATGAGGGAAAAAAACAAGTTATTTTGGGGTGAAATTAAAGCATGAAAAATTGAAAGGTATAGTGAAAAAGTTTCAAAGTTCTTAGACTAAAATGTAAGGTTTTTCAAGATTTACAACCACATATCTATTAAAAAAAGAGTTTGAAATAATTATTAACACTAAGATTAAATCCTGCTTGTTTTTGCGGTGCACCATAATAAAAACATAAAAGTCAATGAAATTCATTTTCTGCTGTGATTACGCTGCAAAAAATGAGTCTAGATCTTGTTCTTTAAAATCCATTTTTAAATAACAAGATGAAGAGCAAATACATTTTTAGCATTTGTAAAAAGACATGGCACATGATTCCCAGGTTTGCTCTCTCATCATCTCAAATCGAGGGAGACAGTGAGAAGGACAAGTGAGCACTGGAACTAAATGCACTCATCCATTATCTTCCTATCCAAAAACATATCCGTAGAGGGATATTGGAGAAGAAGAGGCAAAGATGCCCTAGTACAATTAAAGACCAGCTAGTCATGCGATTCTCCTTTTGTTTCATTGCAAGACCGTGACCTAACCAAATTCATTGTAATGTCTCCCTTTTCCTTGAAAGATGTTATCCATTTGGTACAAATATTGATTCAATTCAGCGTTGCGCTTATCACCGAAAGAGGTTATTGATGAGAAAAAGAAAAAATGCTACTCATAAGGCATGTGAATCTCGATTCTCCACTTGCAGTAAAGTCATGAATTTTGGCCAGATTTGATCCATTCATTTGATGTGAAGTGCCACCCATCCTGCCCACCTGCATATATGCTCTCCATTATCTGTGTTGTGGCGATCATTAATAATAAATCAATCGTGGCTATAGTTAATTAAAAACCCATTTTGGATTGGGCTTCGAGTTTCAAGTTCTTCAAGGCCAATTTATCGAACGCAGCTGTGTTTATCTACTGTAAAATCAACATTTATTTTGAAGGTAGGAGAGAGGTTCGATAACGGGCAAACCTCAACTCAATTCAGAACAATAAATCGAATCTCAGTTGAGGGAATCATTGAGAGTTTTAAGGGCTCTTCAAGACTTGAATGAGATAAGAAAAATATATCTGGGGACTCAACTGAGAATCCCTGTACAGTTAGAGGAGTTATTTGAGGTTTGCCCTTCAATTTTTATCAGTGAACAGGCGGAGAAATCTATTGAAAAAAACAGGAAAAAAAAAAAAAACTTGCATCTAGTTTTTAAAGATTACCCTTGATAAAGTAGGGGGATTTTGGAGTAAAAGCCATCACCGCTGCATTTGGACCCATCTCAGTGGTAGCTCAAAACACTATTTAGAGTCAATATCCATCCATCATGCGATGTGCCCTCTGTGGAACTCAACAATGGGCATCGATGGTTTTCATGGCATTGACAAGCAATCAGGGAGAGGACGCGCATAATCATGACTCTGAATTACCCCTTATGCGCTGGACAATGGGTTTAATCTTGATAAAATTACGGCCAGGTTAGAAATAATTATACAAGTTAAGCAAACATAATCTTCCCAAATTTGCTCACGTAATATTCAATTGATTTTGTCAAGGAGATATGCTTGACTGTTAGAGGTTCTCGATGCGCGCGTTGGACAATCATAGGCATCAACAATCGCCACTCGTTAACTACTTGTCTGGCTTAGGTAACTGCGAAAGGTGCTCGAGGATAGATAGGACAGTCAGAAACATAGTGTGTGTGTGTGTGTATGTAAAACTATAACTCTAAATTATATGATTCAACTGGCAAAGTTAAT